ATGTCTTTATTTAGTCCTATAGCACTTACTTCCCTTTGATAAATTAGGAAAACACAATTACTTCCCTTTATAAAACCATTGCATTTTGTGGAAAATAATTTACTTTTTAATTACTTTGTTTAGGTGTTGGGAAAAAAAAAATTACATAATTAGCGGGGATTGATCAAGTGCAAATGTTGTAGGTATTTTACGGATAAGCTTGGAGTATTATAATTGTTCATCAAATTGAAACAGGCGCGTTCGTTTAAGTGAGTGCAAAAAGACTATGAATAAGTTGGGGTACTATAGTCATTCATTAAGCTAAAACAGGTGATTCCGCCCCGGGCGTTTATGTTCGCGTTAGTGTTTTCTTTGTGTTTAGGTGGGTTTGCGTTAGTGGTTGCGTTTTGATTTGGTTCGTTTTTGTTCTTTCTTTTTTCGTTTTTGTTTGTGTTTTTTTGTTTGGGTTTGTATTTGTGTTTTTGGTTGGTTTTGCGTTTGGATTTGGTTTGTTTTCGTTTGCTTTTTCGTTGTTTTTTTTTTTGTTGGTATTAGTGTTTGTGGTTGGGTTTGTTGTTAGGTTTTTGTTTTCGTTTGCTTTTTTGTTTGTTTTTTCTTTGTGTTTGTATTGGTGTTTGTGGTTGGGTTTGTTTTGTTGTTAGGTTTTTGTTTTCGTTTGCTTTTTTGTTTGTTTTTTCTTTGTGTTTGTATTGGTATTTGTGGTTGTGGTTGGGTTTGTTGTTAGGTTTTTGTTTTCGTTTGTATTTGTAATTGTGTTAGCGTTATGTTTGCGTTTTGTTGTTTTGGTTTTGGTTGGTTGTGGTTTGGGTGGGCAATGCCGGGTTTATGATGATTACTAAACACACAGGTGATGGTCTTTAACAGAAAGTTTTTTCACAGAAGCCAGAGCAGGGCCTGGCCGGGACGGCTAGTTGTATATAAAAGATTTCTAAACTTTTATCATACACTGTAGCCGTAAACACAATTACAATAAGCTTCATAGCACCAATAATAAGCCTAAACAAAACCTAGTTAGGAAAATTGTGATTGATCACTAGAAAGCGATTGTCAACTTCAGAGTCGAGAAATTAATGAATAATTAAATATTCCCTGAAATATTCTAACTATTCAACAACTGTTGAAAAAAAAATTGAATATAAAAGCAATATAGAAGGGAGATGACTACAAAGTCTATTGATAAACTGCGCTGTTGCATTTCAATTAGCTTACAAAGGAAAATTACCATATACATTTATGCACAAAAAAACATGTTCATAATTTGCTGTGTCAACAAAATAATCACAAGACACTTTTGTAAAGGAAATGAAGAGAGGCGCAAAAAATTAACAGGAATGTACCATATAAATTATAAAATATATAAGAATAAGTATATATTTGTCAATCTAATCTAATCTCATCTAATCCTAATCTAAGTGCTCATACTCCCACCCCCCCCCCCCCTCTCACTATATAATTCTTTAATGAGGAATAAGGTTAGAAAAAAATAGCAACTGTTGCTACGTTTAAAAATTTAAGAGTTAAAAAAAAAAGTTTTAGATTGAATATTAATTTGTTAGTTACTTCCCATTTAAATACTGGACATAAATAGGGGAGACAAGCAAAAAACTATTTTCCCGTAAGTGATTAAACATACAGAGCAGAGAACAACATTTAATTACATACATAAAATTGCGTTAATGATTTATTATTTAACATAATATGAATTTTAAATGATTTATATGACTGTCGATTCATCGATATTACATTTTTCATTTGGTTATAGTTTAAATTACGAAACACTTAGACCAATACAAATTTGTTTTGTAGACAAGTGAAAGTTTAGTTGAAACAAATGCTCCGTACTCACTTGAGATAGCCTTTAAAGTTTTAAATTTACCAATTTTCGTTTTGTTTCTGGCCATGTATCGCCTCAATGTCAAATTTGGATCACACATGAGGATGGGGCGACAGTTAATTATGCCGTCGGAAGTAACAGAGTTGCAACCCCCTAATGATTATTTTGATCTAGTTTTTATCAAATTTTACTTAAATCGTTTAATTTTTATACATACACCTAATGATATTTTTTTTTAAACTGTATACAACTACACAATAAATTATTTGTATTTGTTGTTTTTTTAAAATTTAAATATTTGTTTTTAAAAAAAGATACGTAGGAGCTCTGCTATGGTTATAGCAGTTTAAAAGGGAATAATGTTTGATTCATTTGTTTCATTTTACTCTACATATCACCCGTGCTGCTTCTAATATTTATAATAATATTCTTCTTTTATCCCAAAGATATTTAAGCTCTAGAGATTATCCAATACCCCCCATAAACCCACCCCACCGAAAAAGAAAATTTTCCTTTACATATTTTTGTGTACTTTTTTCCTTCGCAGAACATGTAATCACTATTTAATTACACATTTACATTTTCAGGTTTAAAAATAAAACCGAAGTTAGATTTTTTGTATTATTTATAATTAAACCATCTTCAATGAGTGAAAGTACATATTTATTTACGTAAATTTGACTGTGTATAATATTTTAAAATTAATTGTTCTACCCCCTTTAGCGCCCCTTTAGGGTTAGCGCCAGAGGAGGCCGCCCCACACGCCATCCCCTAGCTACGCCACTGAATACTAGGCGAACAAAGCTATACACTTTACAACAGTGCCTATCGGTTTAAAAGCACAGAAAAAAGACCCAACCTTAGATTATCTAAATTAGATGTTGATTTAAAACTAATGTTGAACTGAAAAATATTAGAAAAAAAAATCTGATCATCTATTTAATTAACAGTTGAAAATCTGGCCTAGGTTCTAAAGGCACCAAAACAAAGGTTGCGCGGTGGGTATCGCATGCAGAAAATCAATGACTGTGACCGACTGCTCACTCCGATCAAGCGAGACTAATTACTGTAGATAGGGGTTAATCACATTTCCAATCACTCGAGGTATGTGATTACCCGTGTTATTCAAGTTAAGTTTTTTTTGTGTATCGCTGGAATGACCAGATTGATTCGGTTTGAGGACTGGCGAGGGCATTCAGAACGAGGGCTTTCTTACAGTCAACTAATGAAGAGTTCCTTCAGTTCATGACGGCTGGCTGGTTTGTAATTTGTGATATCTTAAGTAAATGTAATTAAACGAAGTAACACCGTGTTAACTCTTGCCACATGTATATACATGACTAAGAAACAACAACTTGCAACAAGTTCATGTTATTTGAAAACATTTAACCACGAAAATTACTTGATGCGAGTTATTTTTTTTTCTTTCCTAGACATGTTAAGTATATATGTCACAAGTATAAACGCGGTGTAAGAATATTCTAAAACCATTAACATTAAAAAAAAACACGATACAAGTATTTCCATTGTAAAAAAAAATATATGGGTTCATCAATATAGTACGTCACACCAGTGGCGTAGCGAGGTCGGGTGTCACCCGGTGCGGCACTTAATGGTGTCAACCCCCTCAGAGGCGTAGCGACCCTTCCCGGGGACAAACTGTCAAATTTTCGATTTGCACCCCCCCCCCCTTAAACTTTCGATTTCCACCCCCCTCGAACTTTCCATTTGCACCCCCCTCAAGTTTTTCTCTATATATTTTACTATTTTTTTGCCTTGGTGTCACCCCCCTAAATGGTGTCACCCGTTGCGGTCCGCACCCCCCCCCGCCCCCCCCCCCCCACCCCTCGCTACGCCTCTGCGTCACACTCCCCCTCTCCCCTCCATACACCTCTCCTCCCACAGCAGGTGTCACACAGCAGTACTCGTGCAGGTTTCAACGACGACAACACAGGAAATATCAAAGTCCTACAGGTCCAGCCGAGGCTCGTGTTTCACCATCGAGTCACTTCTACCGCTTCTTCGAGACATGCGCGTCGCACCTTGCGATTCTTCCTGCTACGCACCATAATGGGTTTTCCCGATGGTAAAATTTTTCTTGTTTTCGTGGAGCATAGTATTACGTATTAGATCTAGATCTATAATATAGGTCTACATCAGTAATTTTGCTGTGTGTTTTATTAAGATGCCTGCTGCATTTAGCTATATTACAATCAGCTAACATTGGCTTGTAGGCCTACATTGGGATCGTGATAAAATAAAATCCGGAAAAAATGCCATAGGCGACATATTTCGCAGGAACAATTCGTGATTATTTTCAATCTAGAATGGCTTACATGATTAGCGCTATGTAGTTTAAAAGAAAATATATAATATGAATAGCTTGTACTGAAAATAACAAACATGTTTTTTTACTGCAGCAAAGTTGTAAATGCACCTTGTTCAACTCTTAAACAATATATATGTAGACTTCTAATACACGAAATAAAGGCCTATACTCAAACTAAGTAGCAGAATTTAAAATTATGATATATTTTTTTTAAACTGTCGATACCCATATAGACCTACTTGACATTGGATGTAAAAATTAATTCGTTAAAAAAAATTGTCAAGCTAAAGAGAAACATGGTCTAAAGTTTAATTTCCTAAACGGAATTACAAGCGCAAGGTCTTTATTATTTTCTTAAAAATCGGTTCTAGTTTGAAAAATGACAATAATAAATAAAATAAAAACAGCAACAAAAAACAACAAATACAAAAACACAAAAAAAAAACCTACGTGCCATTATGATGGGTTACCGAAGGCACGGAGTTCGATCCCAATCTGATCGCGCGAGAATCTGTCACTCTACCGCATCGACCACGTAGGCCTGTTCAAGTCCGGGTTAGATAACATCGGACAGCTACGAGGTACCTTTGAGGCTTCAGCCATCACATAGATCGCCGCCGACATCGTAAACAAAAGCCGCCCACTCAAACTACTTTGTTTGTCGGGGCTCTTTTTCAGCGTATACACGTTTAATCAACACACGAGGTATTGGCGAGGTCTTAATTCATTCGACGAGTGTGTACATTGACGGGATTTAAGATTAGTTCGAATAATGTGATTTTTATATTAAGTACACATAGGTTAGATATGATAGCCTACATTTGTGTATATCCTTACCTTTAACGCAGAAGTATTTTAAAAAAAGATAAATTAAAAAATAAAAATTAGCTGTAGTTTTTCAAAACATGTTTATTCTTTATTTTAAAATCAATTTCGTATTGCATGGTAGGCCGAAAGTTGGAGTGAATGTATTATTTATGATAATATGCAATTAAACAAAATGAACCAATTACGTTAATGATCTTCTAGTTATTTATAACCTACGCTTAATCTAGTGGAGTAATGCGTAGTTTTTGTTTTGTTTTGTCGTCCTAATCCAGTTGCTATTAACAGAACTAGTTTCCATTTTAGTTTTTATACAACCATCTGTTGTGCATTAGACTAGTGTTTCTCAATTTTTCCAAAATGTGGCACATCCTAATGTAGTCAACATTTTGAACGATAGTAAATTAAACTAGAGCTATATATTATCTACTTTTTTTTTTGTAAATAATTTTTTTGTGATCCTTAAGTTAAGTCACCGCGGTCACGTATTGGACTCACGTGTGACTAAACAGTTTGAGAACCGCTGCGCTAGACAAGATAGTTCACTTATCTGCTGTCTTAACTCGATGTGAAGCTCACATCAACGGCGGCCGCAGGGTAGGGAAACAACAGCAGGATTAAAGCATTCCATGCATGCCAGCACGTTGAGACAGCGGCCTTATCTACCAACGGCTGGACCAGTGACCAATCAGTGGTCTTGCTGGATGTAAGTACGGAGCTGGAACCTGCAGCTGTTGGTCAGTTTATCGTACGCAGCTGCCGGCTCCCGTGGGAAAAATGTTTTTAAAAACAACTGGAAGGTTGTAAGTGGAATGTAGGAAATGGTAGGTAAAATGATAATCTGGGTTATTGCAAAACTGATGTTTCATTCAGTGGATGATGTGGATTATAGTAGATGGATAAAGCGTTTTTGGATATCTATGTTGATAGAGGGGTGTTGAGGTATGTGTGTGTGTGTGGGGGGGGGGGGTTGATTATATGATTACTATGAGTCAATGTTTGTTTTATTCGTTTAAAAAAAAAGACCCAAGATCGATCACATGAGACCAGAGTGATATATTTAGATGGAAAAGATCGTCTGGATTTTGTTTACAATATTGCATTCGATTTTCAAATGATTAATTCCCATTTTTTCTTTAATTTCCACAGTCTTCCCCTTTTCTCCATACGTTTAAAAACCCTATCACACCTACACGGTAACACAACACACGAGAAGCTTTCTCATAACATTCATACCACCCCTCATCATTTTTTTCCAAAGTGAGTGACGCCAATTTATGTCATCACATAAACGCCTCTTATGAACGTATCATTTTTAGCTGTTGTTAAGATACAAACCCAAAATAGACTATTACAGCGAGATTTTACTTCATTATTTCACAAGCATTGCACGAGGTAATGGATACCCGGTATTTAGAATTAGCAGTATCAAATATAAATCAAGGCAAACTTTTTTTTTGCAATATATAAAAACAAATTCTAATAAAATGAGCTTTTTGCAAATTTTTATAATTTGAAAAAAAAATGACTATACACTTCATAATCTTAATATACATTCAAGGAAGAGTAAAACAATTAAGGAACAGTAAAACAATTTAAGGAAGAGTAAAACAATTATCATTTATACACCCCCTCCCATACACCACCCCGAAAAACTTGGGTATTTTAAACAAGAAGGAAGAAAAGATAAAGATTGAAGCAGGTAGGGCGAGTGTGTATTAGGTTTAAAGAAATCAGTCTATACAGATATATAGACAAACAAAAACAACTGCAAACAGCCATGAGTCGACTCAGCTGTAATTAATACCAGGTCTAATTTTGGGAAAGTAAAGACGGCTTGGGATAGAAATAATCACACTATCCCTTCATATACCAAAGTTAACGAAACAGAATGAACAATGAATTAATCAACACTATTTAACAACGAGGTCAAAAGGTGTAACTTTACTGTAACCGTTTCGTTAACGTTTCTCTGATGTGATGTATCGATTAGTAAAGTATCAAGTTTTAAGTTTTTTTTCTGATTTATGCCCTGTCAAAGTGGTTGGTTAATGTTAGCACATGGTTGTGCTAAGAACAAAGAATACATTGATAAAGCCGTATATTAGCTACAATGTGATACGGTGCGTTGATTGCATTCAGAGGAACCAGCTACAGCTGTCGGCATAAACGGCTGTAGCTGGTGTCACGGCTGTACAGAGGGCTGATAGTGTTGGCTACATTACTAGTGTAATGTCTACAGAGGGCTGATAGTGTTGGCTACATTACTAGTGTAATGTCCTATAGAACATCCACAGCTGTGACCGACAGATGTA